CTTCTTAACTAAGCCTAGAAATGCAAACTATATGAAAGAAAAAACGATTTAGCTACATGAGAGGACTTCAGAAAGATGTACAAATGGAATTACAAGATAAGTTTACTTGGGCACATACAAAAACCTGAAAACCATGCTTAATTCTTTTTTTTCTAATACACATTTCCCATGAACCTTTTGAAGCCCCTTTGCATACTAAGTAGAATTGCTTTATGTAAACCAAGGCAATAAAACTATGTCTCTAGCAAATGAAATCGAAGTCTGTCATACTGGATGTTGGCTTCGGACAGGAGATCAGAGCTAATGAAGTTTCCCGAAGCTCCGCAGAACTCAGCTGACTTACAAAAGGACGTGATTCTGAGCTGGCTAGCACGGAAGTCTAACTAGGCGATACCTTCAGTCCCCCGTGTCATTGCCTTTTGTCTTGGAAAAGGCTGAGGAGACCGTCCCCAGAGTATCCTGGCGAAATCTGAGTAAAAATGCAATCTGGTCTCACAGATCGCCTCCTTCCCGTCCCCTTAGATACCAGGGTCAATTACTACAAACCACATGGGGAGGGCTCCTTTCTCCTATAAGCCAGAGCAGACGCCAATATTAATAGACAGAGTTCCCTTTCCTTCTCGTTAATTCTGGTGAGGAGAATTCTGGAAAGAGCAGCAAGTACCGTCCCACTCTACAACGGAATGCCAGGAAAACACCCTCTGGTCTGGACTTCATCCCCATTGTTTTCTGAGTGAATCGGAATGGAGAGCTCATAGCTGCCACTAAGGAGCCACAGACTTCACTGTATCCACGGAACAGCTGAGGAGCAAGTGAAGGGCTTGTTGACTGCGTGCTTCACACAGTCCTGGATTCAGATCTCCGTGGACAGACACACACGGCATCCTATCACAGTGCTTACAATGGAGGTATGTAGGCTCTCCGAAAATCAGCAGGCGAAACGTACCAAGATGTGAGTGTTTCAAGTACTCATCTATTGACCATTATCATTTTCTTCTTTCTTTAAAAAAAAAAAAAAAGATTTATTTGAAAGGCTGAATTACAGGGGGTGGGGGTAGACCTTCCATCTGTGGTTCACTTCCCAAACGCTGCAACAGCTGGGGCTAGGGCAGGCCAAAAGCCAGGAGCTTGGAACTGCACCCAGATCTGCCATGTGGGTGGCAGGGAGGGGCCCAAGCACTTGGGCCACCTTCCTATCTTCCCACATGCATTAGCAGGGGCTGGATCAGAAGTGGAGCAGACAGGACTTGAACCCACTGTGCCACAATGCCAGCCCCTATCATTTGTTTTTCACTTAGAAAAACCTGACTCTGCCTCAGTTTTTGATTTCATGTATTGGTCTTATAGCTGCATTTTGTACTTGCAATCTCTACAGGAAATTAAAACGTTAGAACAGAGCAGGTCAGGGCTGTCAACTGCCATTTGCTGTGCACTAGTCTATCTGAAAATAATCTCTCTGAACTTCTGAATTCATATTTCCACCTGAAAAGTTAATTTTTCATGGGATGAAAAATATACATTGACAAACTTTCACCTTATTTTAAGCCAAATTGCAGGTGGTATGAATAAATTACTCCTATTAGTTATTCTCAGAAAGCAGTCCAACAACGTGTTCAAAAACTTTTTCCATAAAACTTAGAAGCAGTTTTCTTAAAAGAGTAACATAAAGTTTTATTTTAGAAACATCAATAATTACAATATGTTAAATATTACAGCAAGTGAGAATATATAACTATGATGAAAATGTTTATATCAAGGTATAATTGCACAAAAAGTTACCCAATTTTTAAAAATTCATTTGTAGGCCGGCGCCACGGCTCACTAGGCTAATCCTCCGCCTTGTGGCGCCGGCACACCGGGTTCTAGTCCGGGTCAGGGCGCCGGATTCTGTCCCGGTTGCTTCTCTTCCAGGCCAGCTCTCTGCTGTGGCCCGGGAGTGCAGTGGAGGATGGCCCAAGTACTTGGGCCCTGCACCCCATGGGAGACCAGGAGAAGTACCTGGCTCCTGCCATCGGATCAGCGCGGTGTGCTGGCCACAGCGCACCGGCCGTGGCGGCCGTTGGAGGGTGAACCAACGGCAAAGGAAGACCTTTCTGTCTGTGTCTCTCTCTCACTGTCCACTCTGCCTGCCAAAAAAAAAAAAAATTCATTTGTAGACACAGAAGCAACATTTCTGAAAATCATTACAAGTTACAAAGGATTGCTCCCCCAAATTTCCCAAAGCTAGCTCAACTGTTTGCTTCCCCCATTTGTCTGTTTTTCCAGTTCCGTTCAGAATCAGGAAGGATCAGTCCATGAACAACAGTCTGAAGTAACTAATGCTCATGCTGAGTCGAAGACAAACTCCAGGGCAGGAAAAGGTGATTTTGCAGGTCACTGAGGGACTTGCCCAGCAGAGGGATGACGAGGCCACGGCTCAGGCTTTGCACTCAGCCCAGGGCTCTCTCCACACTAACTGCTCAAGAAGACGTTACCAGCCAGCGCCGAGGCTCACTAGGCTAATCCTCCACCTGCGGCGCTGGCATCCCGGGTTCTAGCCCCGGTCAGGGCGCCGGATTCTGTCCCGGTTGCTCCTCTTCCAGTCCAGCTCTCTACTGTGGCTCTACTGCTTGTCAAAAAAACAAAATGAAGAAGTTACCGTTGGGTGAACCTTTGTCTTTCTGCATCTCAGCCTGGATGCAGCTGAGCTGACAGACGTAAGGCCGCCTGTACACAGTCCCGCAAGTGTTCGTGTTTAGGCAATGGAAGCTGATGCATCCTGAGCTTCCCTCTCCGTGGCTGCGTGCCAGTGCCCTCACTTTTCCTTTCCTGCTGTTGCAACACAGCTGCTGTGCTTCCGGTCTGACCCCATTGCCTCACCGCATGTCAGAACAGGGTGCACACCCCTCTGAGGTCTCAGCCACAGCGGGAACCCTTGGCACCGGAGTCGTCAGGCGAATAGCTGGGGAGCCTAGGATTCCAAAGATGTGAGTGTCCAGGTTTAGTTCCCTTACTAACAAGCCTTTCCAACCTAACAGTGATGAGAACAGGCAGATTTACTTGGGCTTTTATTACAGAGGGATATTTTAACTTATACATTAAAAAGTCTGCTTTTTAGAATGAGTTGAGGTTACTGGGTGTATGAAAGATGGGAAAATTTGACCAAAAGCGAATGAAGCAGAGCAGGGGGATCCAGTGCACCTGCTTGACCTCCAGGGCTGCCCTCCGGCCTGTCACTGTGACGTCTTCCCACGCTCTCTGATTCTCCCCACTTCTTCGCACGCCACTGCTGTGGATGATCACAGTGACACTACACACCGACCAGTGCACGGTACTGGTAGTGACGGAGCCTAGGTGAGAAACGGTGAGAAGTCAGCTGAATTCTCTGTTCTGTAATCCACATCAGCGAGGGCCCCTTAGAGAGTCTAGGGAAGAAGTGCGAGATCGAGGGCAGGGGCCCAGCGAGAAGAAAAAGCACATGCAATGTCCTCAGTGGTGTGACATCCTTCAACCGGTGACAAGGTCAGGAAACTGCAGTGGTGGTGAGAGAGGCCTGTGGCCCGCTCTGCAAACATCCTCAAGGACAGACACTGCATCAGTGATTGCATCGGGACAGCAGGAGCGAACCAGCAGGACCGAGGGAGCTGCGGGCCTCTGGGCTTGCGGGCCTTCTCCGGCACTTGAGTAACTCAAGCGAACTGTGACGCTGTGGAATCTCTCTTTGCCGTGTCTTTGTTTCATTTTTCAGAACTCCTGTCATCTGCAGGAACATCTTTTTTGTCTGCCAATAACATGCCTGATGCCCCCGTACACCAGCCTGCAGAAAATATTGGTGTAGATTAATTCAGACTGTTTCAAGGGTCCATTGGGAGAGAAAAGGCTAAACTTATACAAACTTTGCTTTGATGCAGTATTAAAGTCTAAAGCAATGCTGGTCTTTATAGCAAAATGCAGAGTATGAGTGCTTAGGCAGGCCACTGAAAATTACTCTATATCACACAATATTACTGCATTTTAAGAGCCCTGCATTCCTATTCCTAGAAGTAATCATTTTTACACTTCTGCATACTTCCCAATAACTTTACACGTGTGTAGATACTGACGTGTAGTATATACCCTTCTGTAAACACACGGGAGCATGCTAAATGCATGTTCAGGAATTTGGTGTTTTTGCTTGAATTTGGTGTTTTTCCTGAGTATTTCTACACATTACTATGTATATTTGATTTCATATCTATATCATATACCTTATTTTATCAACAGTTAATAACAGTGGGATATTTTTGAGACACTAATAAAATGTTCCTTGTCACTCTACACTGAGTGTTGTAGAACAAGCAAGCAAAATATGAAATATATTGAATAATAATTTTAAAAAGTATGTTATCATTAAATCCATATTTTTCCCCAACAGAATGGCAGAGGGCAGTGTTGGTAATGCAGAGGCCTTCGGGATGGATAAACGTTCAGCTGATGGCTCTGACTTAGTAGTTCCTTCACAAATGCAGGGGTCTAGAAGCATCTGCCCCAAAGATTTCAGAGTTCCTGCTGAGTGCGAGTCTTTGGTTCACACGGCCAGGCAGCACCAGGCCACAGTCACCCTTCACGTCAGACACGCACTGTGACCTGGGCTGTGGGAGCTGTGGAGGACAGAGGAGGCTGCATGTGCAGCTCGCAGGCTGGGAGCCCCAGGACATGCGGAGCTAGAAATCACAAAGGAGCAGTTTCTCTCTGAGCAGCTGAGGCTGTGGGTGGCTTTGGTTCCTTCTGTCTGCATGTCACACCGTAGACTAGAAAGGCGTTCTTTAGGCTCCGTGTCAGTGAGGAGCCTGAAGCTCACAGCGAATCACAAACATCCAGGGTGATCCCAATAGTGATACAGATAGTGGGGGCTGGACCCAGTTTGCCTGGCTCCAAATTCCATGCTAATGAGATCTTTTCATTCTGATTCTGTGAGGTCCCAAAAGGCAAAAAACCCTTTTCTTTGACGTCCCTCCGATAGCTTGCTGGAAGCTGTCTGCTGCGTGCTGGTGGTCCTGTAAACAACACTGTTCCAGATGACAGGCAGGCTCCTTGACACTGAGAAACCAGAATGAAAACTGTGGCAGTGGTCAGGACGGACTCTGACCCAGAGCCGTTCAAGTGGAAAGCCAGCAAAGGTTAGCCGAAGGACAAAATGCTAAAGGTCAAGTTTTCTTTCTCAATTTTGCATTTCACATTTTAAGAGGTGATTCACATATAGGAAGATTAAATTTTAGAAACAGGTCATTATGATCATTTTCAATGGCATAATTTTCATGTCTTCAGCAATACTAGTTCTGCAAATGTTTCCATTGTGCAGTAAAATGCTTACACGTTGTGGAAAGAGTTAATCCACGGGTACTAATGGACTTCCTGAACCTTCCTGTTTCAGAAGAGGGAGATTGGAAACACCGATCATGAATTGGGGAAACGATAGCGCCCCCCAGGAGTTCGTTCTGTTGGGTTTCTCAGATCGGCCGTGGCTGGAGTTCCCGCTCTTTGTGGTCTTCCTGGTCTCCTACATCTTGACCATCTTTGGCAACGTGACCATCATGCTGGTCTCCCGCCTGGACTCCAAACTCCACACCCCCATGTACTTCTTCCTCACCAACCTGTCACTCCTGGACCTCTGCTACACCACAAGCACGGTCCCGCAGATGCTGGTAAATTTACGCAGCACCAGGAAGACAATCAGTTACGGCGGCTGCGTGGCCCAGCTCTTCATGTTTTTGGCCTTGGGAGCCACTGAGTGTGTTCTCCTGGCGGTCATGTCCTTCGACAGGTTTGTGGCCATTTGCCGGCCTCTCCATTACTCAGTCATCATGCACCAGAGGCTCTGCCTGCAGCTGGCAGCTGCATCCTGGACCGTTGGCTTCGTCAATGCGGTGTGGTTGTCTGCCCTGACTCTCTCGCTGCCACTCTGCGGCCCCTATGTGATAGATCACTTTCTCTGTGAAGTCCCTGCGCTGCTCAGGTTGTCCTGTGTTGACACAACCACAAATGAGGCGGAACTATTCCTGGTCAGTGTGTTCTTCCATCTGCTACCCTTGACACTCATCCTTACATCATATGCCTTTATTGCCCAAGCCATCCTGAGAATCCAATCTGCTGAAGGTCAACAAAGAGCATTTGGGACCTGTGGCTCCCACCTCATTGTGGTGTCACTGTTTTATGGCACAGCCATCTCCATGTACCTACAGCCGCCTTCACCCAACTCCAAGGACCGGGGAAAGATGGTTTCCCTCTTTTATGGAATCATTGCGCCCATGCTGAACCCCCTGATATATACACTTAGGAACAAAGAGGTAAAGGAAGCCATACGAAGGCTGGCTACTAGAGTCTTCATCACGAAATAAGGAAACGTGCACGTGAGAGGACGTAAGGTCTTGCAGGGCCCCCACCCCTCGCCGTCTGTGTCCTGACCTAAACCACAAGAGGTTTGGCAGCTCTGGGGCCCACCAGTTGGGGGTTCTTCCCAGCAGGAATGAGTGCAAGCCAGGACTTGGTCATCCTCAGGCACTGATATGGAGGTTTAGTTTGTTGCTGAAAACAGTGAGAAACTGTCCTGGCTCTGAGCCAAAATTCCTTAAACCTGCATGTGGTCTCGTACCTGACCCTTCCCTGCAGACACACCCAGAGAGAACACCTTTCTCCCGCCTGCTCTGTAAGTTCCTCTAACAAAAGCTTTGGATCAGTCATCTTGGCGGTCACTTCTTTCTTTGGGATCCCAACTGGCTCGATCCTGTGGAATATCCCTGCGTCTGCTTTTGGGGCAAACTCAGTTGCTGTTTGGGCTGCCAGGACCAAGCAGCTGGTGTAGTCAGCAGGATCCAAAAACCAAAAGTAAAAAAAAAAAAATTATAGGTGACTGATGTTATGACTCCCCAGGGGTCTACAATAAAATTGTGGTTTGGAGTTGGGGTCTTGGTAGAAACCTCTACTGGTCAGCCTTTTAGAGATTGCGATTTTATTTATTTTCAGTTTGTTCACTTATTTTTTTTTTTTTGAAATGCAGAGCAGAGCAACAGAGAGAGAGAGAGTTGTAGATAAATAGATACTGCTAAACTGTTTTCCAAAAAAGCTACACCTTTTTGCATTCTCACTGCCTCCTTGAGAACACTTGGCAATGCCTGTCTTTATCACAGCCGTTCTGTTGGGTTCGAAGTGGTATCTCCTGGTTTTGCTTTCACTTCTAGAATGATTCATGATGTTGAACATTTTTGCATATGTTTATTGGCCATTTCTGTATCTTCCTTGGACAAATATATATTCAAATCATTTGCTCATTTTTAAAACTTGGTTTATATTTTTATTGAATTGTAGGAATTCTTTACACATTTGGATACAAGTCTCTTGTTGGATAGGTGATTTGCAAAGACATTCCCTCTTCCATACTTTCGATTTCTTGATGAAATTTCCTTTGAAGCACCAAAGTCCTCGATTTTGATTAAGTCATTTTATCTATTTTTTCTTTTGTTATGTGTGCTATTACAAGAGTTGTTTGTGAAAAAGCTACCATGTACTCTAAAGCTATAATACATGGATTTTCCTGTAGCGTCCTAAACTTTCAGCTTTTACAGTTAGGTCTCTGACCCGTTTTGATAACTTGACATGGTACACATAAATGCTATGTTGCTGTGACAGACTGGGAAGCGTAAAAGATACATGTTGTGTAGAGTGTGACGAAGGAGACCTACATGACTCTTATAGATGCAGATCTCCACTATCCTGGAAAACACCATTATTTCCCCATTGAATTATCCTGGCACCTTTGTCAAAAATGAACTGATCATAAATCTAAGAGGGCACTTCCAGACTCTTGGGTCTACTCCACTGATGCATGTTTTTACTTTATGAGTGTAGCACGCTGTCTATAACTGTGGCTCTGTACAGCTGGAGATTAGCAAGTGTGAGTCTTTAATCTTTGTTAACCCTCTGCATCCTTTGCATGTACATATGACTTTTAGGATCAATTTGTCAGCTTCTGTGACTTAAAAAAAGCTACTATAATTTAAAAAAAAAAGCCGGGGATGATTTTATGAGGGATTGCGCTGGGTCTGTAACCAGGGTGTGGAGTTTTGTCAACATGACGATCGGAAGTATTCTCAGTAGTGAGTGGGAGAGGTCTTTCCCTAGTTACAACTCTCATTTCTTCCAGCACTGTTTTATAGTAATGTGCTTCATTTAACCGAGCTCAGGTCAAACTTCTCCACCGGTTTCAAGACTGCCAGACTTGGCTCTGATGCAGCTAAGCTTGGAATCCCTAAATCTCAGTGTCACACACTCCACGGTCTGGCCAGGAATCAGTTGTTTCTCTTGGATAGACTATTTCAGTCTGTTTCGTGGCTTTTACTTATTTAAGGAGTTCTGAAATGCTTGAATTTAGTTGTTTTCCTCAAAATGTGTCATGGTTGAGTGGAAGAGCTAGTTTACTGTTTCTCACTTTGCCATTCCAGAAGTCAGTCAACTTCATTTTCTTAACAGTGTCTTGAAGAATAATCATTTGCCAATTGTTGCCTTTTGACTGGTAGGCTTAATCCATTTACATATAATAACATTTATATCCTCCATTTTGCAATTTCTTAACAAATAAAGACAAAGCAAGAAAACTCAAGTAAGAGAAGTTCAACAGGACACACTGGGAGATTCCATCTCTGCTTTACAACTGGGGCTCCAGTGAGTGATGAAATCTCACTGAAAAGCTACGCAGGGGCTGGCCTGTTGCACAGCGTGTTAAAGCTGGTTCGAGTCCTGGCTGCTCCACTTCCAATCCAGCTCTCTGCTGTGGCCTGGGAAAGCAGTGGAAGATGGCCCAAGTCCTTGGGCCCCTGCACCCTTGTGGGAGACCTGGAGGAGGCTCCTGGCTCCTGGCTTCAGATCAGTACAGCTCTGGCAGTTGTGGCCATCTGGGAAGTGAACCAGTGGATGGAAGACCTCTCCCTCTCTCTCCCTCTCTCTCTATCTCTCTCTTTTTCTCTGTAACTCTGCCTCTCAAATACAAAATAAATCTTTTAAGAAAAACTGATAGAATTGAAAAGAGACAGGCAAATCCAAAATTAGGGTTGGAAACTTGAACACTGCACTCTCAGTAGCCAGCAGCACCATTGGAAACACAGTAGAAACGCAAACGAGTTCATCCACACAACCACCGACAGCAACGAACACCCATGGGGCTCTCCAGCCAAGCACAGGAGGATCCGCGTTCTGCTCTGGTACCCACGGAACGCTGACCACGTGTCCCAGTCAGGTCCAGCAGCTGTAAGAACATACCATGAACTGGGTGGCTAACCCACACAGCAGCTTACTTCTCACAGCTCTGGAGGGTGAGAAGCTCAGGACGAAGGTGTTTGTAGATGCAGGGTCTGGTGACAGCGTATGTCCTGCTTCCATGATAGTGCCATCCTCTGTGTTCACATGTGGTAGAGGGGATAAACAAGTTTCTGTGGTCCTTTGTTACGAGGGCACAAAAATCCCGTTCAGAAGGGTCTCACCCAGGCCGGCGCCGCGGCTCACAAGGCTAATCCTCCGCCTTGCGGTGCTGGCACACCGGGTTCTAGTCCAGGTCGCGGCGCCGGATTCTGCCCCGGTTGCCCCTCTTCCAGGCCAGCTCTCTGCTGTGGCACTCCCTGGCCCAAGTGCTTGGGCCCTGCACCCCATGGGAGACCAGGAGAAGCACCTGGCTCCTGGCTTCGGATCAGCGCGGTGTGCCGGCTGCGGCGGCCATTGGAGGGTGAACCAACGGCAAAGGAAGACCTTTCTCTCTGTCTCTCTCTCTTACTGTCCACTCTGCCTGTCAAAAAAAAAGGAAAAAAATAAGGGTCCCACCCTCATAATCTCATTCCCCCCACCCGAGGGAAGGTGGGATCTTATGGAGGTTAGGATTTGTGTTAAAAAAGCTAAAATAAGTGAGATAGGGGCAGGTGCTGTAGCGTAGCAAGTAAAGCCGCTGCCTACAGTACCAGCATCCCATATGGGCTCCAGTTCGAGTCCCGGCTGCTCCCCTCCCAATCCAACTCTATGGCCTGAGAAAGCAGTAGAAGATGGCCCAAGTCCTAGGGCCCCTGCATCCATGCTTCGGATCAGCGCAGCTCCATCTGTTGCGGCCAACTGGGGAGTGAACCAGAAGATAGAAGACCTCTCTCTCTGCCCTTCTCTCTCGCTGTGTAACCCTGTCTTTCAAATAAATAAATCTTTAAAAAGAAGAAGTGAGATAAGCAAAGAGGTTCTGTTTCCACATCTGGTTTGGCCTTTGTCTGTTTATGTCTCACATTTAGACCCCGAAGCCTCTGTATGGTGCAGTGATCCCAAAATGAAGAACGCATAATTGGGCGAAGGAACCCAGAGAAGAAGGAGGCGTGGCTTCACTTCTCACTTTCAATGAAACACCGGCAGATTGAAACAGTGGCAGATTCTGTGCCACTCAGCACTGCAACCTTGGACTTCGCAGGGCTGGAGGTGCCGATCCTGTCACGGGGAATATTCTCGCCACGGGACATGGAAAGGGTTGCATGGAACCACAAATCCAAGCTGTGACTGCCGTCAGGATACTTAAGACTTCCTGTGTCCACAGACCAGCAGATCAGAAGAGCTGCCATGGGGGGAAGGCCACAGTCGTCCACACCTCTTGGCAACCATGCCCTGTGCAATCCCTTTCCCTTGAGTATAAAGTAGAAGTTGGGTTCTGGCCTTTATCCTGGGCGCTCTTTCTCTGTAGATCAGAACTGGGCAGGAAGCCAGCTGCTGTATCATGCAGGAGCCCTGTGAAGAGGCCAAGTGAGCAAGCTTGCAAGTGAGTTGTCTGAGGCCGGAAACCCACATAATGCCTTAAGGTGCTTGTAGCTCCAGGCAACACCTTGGCTGCAGCAATGAGAGACCTGGAGCCAGAAGAGCCCACCCAAGCAGTGTTTTTTGCTCTCAGCGGCTCAGTTTTTGGGTGCTCTGTGAAGCAGCAATAGCTAATTACTGCACCATAGCCAGAGTAACCGACCCAGGGCCAACAGGGGGAGAAGAGCTGACTTCAGACAATAGGGCCAGGGAAGAATCCACGTGGAACGCAGATGGCCCTTGGGCTACCTTCTGATACATCTTCCCCTACAGTAACTGAGCAGACCCGTCATTACCAAGGCAGCAGAACTTTAGAAATGAAGGTCCCAGCCACTCTCCCAGGCCAGCAGCCGAGACCCTGGCGAGGGCAGAGGGGAGACTGGGAGTGACCTGAGGCACTCCTGGAAGAGGGAAAGAACGAGAACCTGCTGTGGCCTGAGACCAACCACAGCAGTGAGGCTGTTGTTTCTCTACTCAACCCCTCGTGCCACATGGGTTCTGCTCGCCAAGATGTGCAGAGAATCAGCAGTGAGGGCCGCAGGACGGCCTGTGCTGACCGTGACACTACAGGAGGGTCAAGGCCTGTGCACCTCCCGTCGTTAGGGGCCAGCCTCTGGCGCTGCTCTGAAGTGCAAGGTGTTTCACGCCTAACTGTTAGGTAGGAAGTTAGATATGAGCTTATGTGTGTGTGACAGGCCTAAAGAGAAGACTTCTTTTTTTTTTTTTTTTTTTGACAGGCAGAGTGGACAGTGAGAGAGAGAGAGACAGAGAGAAAGGTCTTCCTTTGCCGTTGGTTCACCCTCCAATGGCCGCCGCGGTTGGCGCGCTGCGGCCAGCGCACCGCGCTGATCCGATGGCAGGAGCCAGGAGCCAGGTGCTTTTCCTGGTCTCCCATGGGGTGCAGGGCCCAAGCACCTGGGCCATCCTCCACTGCACTCCCTGGCCACAGCAGAGGGCTGGCCTGGAAGAGGGGCAACCGGGACAGAATCCGGCGCCCCAACCGGGACTAGAACCCGCTGTGCAGGCGTCGCTAGGCGGAGGATTAGCCTAGTGAGCCGCGGCGCCGGCCTAGAGAGAAGACTTCTATGTCCAGCACATGCTGCATCTCAAAGTCATCCCAGTAATGTTTCAGGGACAGCTCGGTATTCACATTCTGCCCTGCCCCCTTCTACCTGATAACCTGCCAGGTGGAGATCCCAGCCCCTTCTGCCTGACAAATCTTCCACAATCTCCCAGATGCAGCCCAGTATCTGCATTTCAAACACCCTGCTCCGGATCCCCATTCTCTAGGGGGTCCTGCTCACCCTTCCTCTGAACCCAGGATGGCACCAGCTAGGCTTCCTCCTGTATGATACCTTCAAGGGAAAACTCAGATAGGAGATTCTTAATATTTACATCCATAAAATCCTTTGTTTCAGGAGGAGATGTGTGAAGACAAAGACCCATCTCCTTAACCACCGCCCCCCGCCCCGCCCCCCGCCTCAACCGGACTACGTGGTCAGCCCTCTGCCTCTATGCTGAGTCGCCCGCCTGCCTGGCCAGGTGTACTCTCTCTACTCAACCATGTAACCTCACTCCTCCCACCTAGTCCGAGAGACCACACACTCTCAGGTCCTGTCTGGAGAGGTGCCCATCTGTTCTTGTGGATGTCCCTGCCCTAAGAAACCTTGCTACTTTGCTTTCCACTACTCTCTGTCTCACGCCTGAATTCTTTCTTGTGCGAAGACAAGAACCCTGCGATTCTCCAGTAACATAACTGCTTAGCTCCCCTCTCTCAGCCACTTGGGAAGGAGGCCCTCCACGGTGGCCGACGGCCCTCACAGCCTCTCCCCGGTTTCCTCCTGCTTTCCCCGCAGGTTTCCCCCTACAGCTCCCTTGAATGACACCTCATGGTGTCTGCTTCCTAGACGCCCTAAACCAACACTGAAATCTCACGTCTGATCTATTTTACCTAAGTATTTTATTTGCTTTGTTTTGGTTATTTTTGCCATTTTAAGATAAACTTTATTTTTTTTAAGATTAATTTATTTGAAACTCAGAATTACAAGAGGGAAAGGTAGAGAAAGAGAGAGAGAGAGAGACAGAGAGAGACAGAGACTGATTCACTTCCCAAGTGGCCACAACATCTGGGGCTGGGCCAGGCTACAGCCAGAAGCCAGGAGCTTCTTACGGGTCTTCTACACAGGTGCAGAGGCCTCAAGCTCTTGGGCTATCTTCCACTGCTTCCTCAGGCCATAGCAGAGAGCTAGATTGGAAGTGGAGCAGCCAGGACTCAAACCAGTGCCCATATGGGATGCCAGCACTTCTGGTGGTGGCTTTACCCACTAGGCCATAGTACCTGCCCCTAAACTTTTTACTTTAGAACAGTTTATAGATTTACAGAAAATCTGTGGAGTGCAGAGATCCTATATGCCCTAAAACCACTTTCCCTCATTAACTTCTTTCTTGTTCAGGGGGGCTTTATTTATTTACTCATTTACAAAGAACAGATGTCATGTATTTCATACATACAGTTTCAAGATGTCTTTCCCATCCACCTTCCCTCACTCCTTCTTTCTTATTTTTCTTTTAATTTTTGCAATTACATACTTTCTTTTTCTTTATCCAGGTTTCCCACATGGGCGTCAGAAACCCAACCACTTGATCCATCACCCACTGCCTCCTAAGGGACACTTGAGCAGGAAGCCGCAGAGCTAGGACTCACACCCAGGTACTCCAATATGGAATATAGACATCCATGCCAAGGCCTGTCCCCAGAATGAAGCCAGAGTAGGCAGCAACCAGTTATCCAGAATCATCACATAGGCCTCATCTAAAGCTAGGTGGAAACACACAGGGCATGTCTTCTCTAGATGCAAGCTCCCCTTTTCTATCTCTTCTTGCTCACGAATACCATATTCCCAGCCCCTGTCTGAGGCTCAGCTAAACGAAGCAGAGCCAGGTCAAGTAAGCAAAATCTCCTCCAAGAGGCATGTAGCCCCCAAAGAGTTTGGCAGACTGAGGAATCTATTTTGAATGCCTTTATTGGGGCAGAGCTGTGGCATAGTAGGCTAACTCTCTACCTGCGGTGCCGGCATCCCGTATGGCCACTGATTGTTGTCCCAGCTACACCTCTTCCAATCCAGCTCTCTGCTTGTGGCCTGGGAAAGCAGCGGAAGATGGCCCAAGTGTTTGGGCCCCTGCACCCACATGGAAGACCAGGAGGAAGCTCCTGGCTCTTGTCTTCGGATCAGCCCAGCTCCAGTTGTTGCGGCCATTTGGGGAGTGACCCAGAGGATGGAAGACCTTTCTCTCTGTCTCTCCCTCTCTGTAACTCAACCTCTCAAATAAATAAATAAGTAAACCTTAAAAAAAAGAGAATGACTTAATCAATAGACTTTCCTGAGGGTAATAGTGGATATTTAACTTTTAAAATATACAGTTAAAAAAAGAACTTAGTTTCCAACTACTTAACTCAGGAAATACGAATCCTTCTGAAACAAAGGAGGATGGCACCCCAAGACAAATTCACCTTCACCATTTGTGAAGCCATTGCAGGGGGAATGCTTGTGGATGAAAGTATTGTATGTCCTTTTCCAGCCCCTGAGTATTTACAGCTATGGGAATCCTTAGCTCTAGGTTACTCCACAGTATCATCATTCACTTTTTTTTTTTTCATTTTCAATTATCTTTATATACAGAAGATCAATTTAGTATATATTAATAGCATACTTTCAATTGAGTTTATAATCACAAGCTAAGTTCTTCACTAAATAAAGAACTCAACAAGTCAGAAGTAGGTTCCTCAGGAGTATAGACAAGGCTATAAACAAGAATCAGATCTCAAGATGTCAATTTCACTCATGAACTGATGACTGGATAAAATAAATAAATATATAGATGGTGGGACTAGCGCTGTGGTGTAGCGGGTAAAGCCACTGCCTGCAGTGCCGGCATCCCATATGGGCGCCGAATCTAGTCCCTGCTGCTCCACTTTTGATCCAGCTCTCTGCTATGGCCTGGGAAAGTAGAAGATGACCCAAGTGCTTGGGCCCCTGCACCCGTGTGGGAGACCCAGAAGAAGCTCCTGGCTTCTGGCTTCGGAATGGCACAGCTCTGGCTGTTGCAGCCATTTGAGGAGTGAATCAGCGGATAGAAGACCTCTCTCTCTCTGCCTCTGCCTCTCTGTAAATCTGCATTTCAAATAAATAAATCTTTTAAGAAAATGTGATACTACTCAGCCATAAAAAGAAGGAAATCCTGATTAACTTCTTAAATTAGTCTGTGCTATAAACTGCAGATACTCCCATTCCCCCACTCCCAGTTTGTTGAGACCCTAACTGCCAACGTGAGGGTCAGAAGGTAGGGCACTAGAAGGGAGGAGTTCCTGAGGGCAGAGACTCCCTCATAAGACAGGCCCTCGGGGCCTCGCCTGGCCCCTGATACTCCTACCTTTGCATTTCACAACTGAGACATCTGCAAGCACTCTTTGCACAAAGTTGGGCTCAGATGCCAGACAGAGTAGATGTAAAAGAGAATGAGAGACCTTGAATTTACGTCCAGGAGGCTGCTCTGTGCAGAGATTGACTAATAGAAATGCACCCAGCGGGCAAAGTAGGGTTAGGTCAGTTTTCTCCTAAGGTGTTAGAATTGTTTCTGACAGTTCTGGACTGTTTGTTTCCTCCTGGGGATGAGCTATGAAAAGCAGCAATGTGAGGCTGGCTTTGTGGCGAAATAGGCTAAGCCTCTGCCTGCATCCCATATAGGAACTGAGTCATGTCTCGGCTGCTCCACTTCTGATCCAGCTCCCTGCTATGGCCTGGGAAAGCAGCAGAGGATGGTTCAAGTGGTTGGGCCCCTGCACCCACGTGGGAGACCCAGGAGAAGCTTCTGGCTCCTTCAGGTCAGCCCAGCTCCAGCCGTTGCGGCCATTTGGGGAGTGAACCAGCAGATGGAAAACCTCTCTCTGTCTCTCCCTCTCTCTGTCTGTAACTCGGCCTCTCAGACAAATAAATCTTTTTATAAAGGAAAAAAAAAAAAAAAGGAAAGGAAAGAAAAGAAAAGAAAAGCAACAATGTGATGATGTGACAGAGGGGAAAATTTCTATAGTTTTACCTGTAAGTCTAAGAGGTAGAAAGGGATGTGGCCGCCAAGGGGAGGGGGAGGGACTGGGTTTCCTGCGGGGATGAGCAGGAGTTCCTGGTGTTGAACAGGCAGGAAGGCAGCATACACAGGGGGATGGCACTCGGAGGTGGCACAGGTAGAACTGGGGTCTGTGCACACAGTGGAATACTACTCAGCCAGGGAAGGAGAGAAATCCTGCCATTTGAAACAGCATGGGTGGACCTGGAGGTGGAAGACGCCAGGCGCAGGAAGACAAGCACTGCACGATCTCAGCCGTACCAGGAAGCTGAAGAAGCTGAATTCACAGACACAGAGTAGAAGGATGGCTGCCAGAGGCTGGGGGAGCAGCAGATGGGAGGAAAGAGGAAAGGTTCATCCTCAGGTGCTGCGTTGTAATTAGGAGGAGTACATTCTAGTGTCCTGTTGCAAGCAGAGGAGCTACAGATAACAATAACACACTGCATAGTTCAGAAAAATCTACGATAGGCCGGCGCCGCGGCTCAATAGGCTAATCTGCCTGCGGCGCCGGCACACGGGGTTCTAGTCCCAGTCGGGGCACCGAATTCTGTCCTGGTTGCCCCTCTTCCAGGCCAGCTCTCTGCTGTGGCCAGGGAGTGCAGTGGAGGATGGCCCAGGTGCTTGGGCCCTGCACCCCATGGGAGACCAGGAAAAGCACCTGGCTCCTGGCTCCTGCCATCGGATCAGCGCGGTGCGCCAGCCGCGGCGGCCATTGGAGGGTGAACCAACAGCAAAGGAAGACCTTTCTCTCTGTCTCTCTCTCTCACTGTCCACTCTGCCTGTAAATGAAAGAAAGAAAGAAAGAAAGAAAGAAAGAAAGAAAGAAAGAAAGAAAGAAAGAAAGAAAAGAAAATCTACGATAAAAGATTTTGAATGTTTTCATCAC